CTTCTTGTTTCTTGTGGTTGCTGCTGCCTCAGAGCCCGGGCAGTCGCAGCAAACAGGTGCGCTCCCGGCGCGGGTGCCAGGCTCCGCTGCCCATCCTGCCCGTGGCTGACACAGCCTGTCTCTGCAGGCGGCCCTGGCCGAGAGCTCCCGCCTGAAGCAGCAGCTGACCATGCTGCCGCTGAAGACAGACCTGCTGGGCAGCGTCTTCGGCCAGGACAGAGCCACGGCCCTCCTGGAGCAGGTGACGAGCTCCGTGCGGGACAGGGACCTGCTCCACAACAGCCTCCTGCAGAGGAAAAGCAAGCTGCAGGTGAGCGCTGAGGACAGCCACCCTTCCCGGCAGGCAGCCGCACTCGGACCTGAGCCCCAGCACGTGCACTGTGCGCCCCGTGCATATCCCTTTGTCCCCACCTAGGGCTCCTCGTCTATCGACTGGGGGATGATTGTGTGGTGGTTCTGGTCTCTGGCTGCCTCTCTGCCCCTGATCCTGCCCTCCAGCCCCCTCGCTGCACTGCAGTCACTGAACTGCCTTCCGCAGGGACTGGGGTGTCCAATGAGAAAATGCAGGAAAAAAATGTAAGCTTTTGACACCTGGTGAACTGGAAGCTGTTATTATTAGGGACACGTTTCCAAATGACTGCACTGAATCAAAGATGCCTTGTGGCACGCTGCAGACAGCTTATTCTCACTGCACATGTTTGCTGAGCCTCTGATGGCGATGATGGTGATGGTGGTGATGATGATGATGGTGATGGTGGTGGTGGTGGTGATAATGGAGGTGATAATGGTGATGGTGGTGATGATGATGACGGTGATGGTAGTGATGATGGTGATGGTGATAACAGTGATGGTGGTGATGATGGTGATGGTGATGATGATGATGGTAATAATGGTGATGATGGTAATGATGGTGATGGTGATAATGGTGATGATGGTGATGGTGATGATGGGGGTGATAATGGTGAGGGTGGTGATGGTGGTGGTGATGGTGGTGATGGTTGTGGTGATGATTGATGATGACGGTGATGATGATGATGGTGGTGGTGGTGGTGGTGATGATGACGGTGATGGTGGTGATGGTGATGGTGATGGTGATGATGGTGGTGATGATGGTGGTAATAATGGTGATGATGGTGATAATTGATGGTGATGATGGTGATGGTGGTGATGATGGTGATGATGATGGTGATAAAGGTGATGATGGTGGTGATGATGGTGGTGATAACTGTGGTCTGTGAGGCACTGACAGGGCCGGGCACATGCTGAGAACTGCACATCTGTGATCTCACTGACCCCAGTAATGAACATTCTAGGGCTGGCGTCCTCAAACTATGGCCCATGGGCCACATGCGGCCCGCCGAAAACATTTATCCAGCCCGCCGGGTGTTTTTGCCACCGCCTGCTTAGCAGCCGACTCGTCCCAGGCCCGCAGTGCTCATGTGTGGAATGTCTAAGGGACAGTGAACTGGCCCCCTGTTTAAAACGTTTGAGGACCTCTGATCTAGGGTTTGCAAGGCAGATGCTCTCTGCTGCAGCTCTCAACTCTGCCACTGCGGCCAGAGAGCAGCTGCAAAGGAATGGGCATGGCTGTGTCCCAATAAAACTTTAACAAACAGACCTCTGGGGGGACTCGGGGTGTGTGGTAGAGATGTAGTCTGCCGACCTCTGTGCAGTGGGCAGAGGAGCTGTATGTGAGGGAGCTATGGTGACTCTGGGGAGGGGCGCTCAACCCCCTCAAGAGCTCTGGGAAGGCTTCCTGGAGGCGGTGCTGCCTGAGTGAGCGTGAGCGGCCCTGGAGAAAGCAGCTGGGCTGGGGGGAAAGTGTCTCACTTGTTGCTGCCCGTTCTGTGTCCCCAGAGCTTGCTTGCCCAGCACAAAGACTTCGGGGCTGCCATCGAGCCCCTGCAGAGGACGCTCTCGGACCTCCAGACCAGGGCCCGAGCCGAGCGTGGGCTGCAGCGGGACCTTCCTGGGAAACAGGCCCAGCTGTCGAGGCTGCAGGTGAGGGGTCTGCGGGGCTTGAGTCGCCTCTTCAGGTGCTCCGCGCACCAGGAGGCAGCCCCTCCTTAGAAACCGGCCAGCAGCGCCGGCCCCAGCCCCACGCTTAGCCCCTCGCTGCACCCTGACCTTTCACCTCGGCTGATTCCTGGGGCCCTCAGCGCCTCCAGACTGCTGACTCTCCAGCTTCCAAGACGATAAGCGGCCTTCCTGCTCACTCCGCGGTTCCAAAGTCCCACACGGGCCGTGTTTTTAGAGTTGCTTTGCTAAGTGCTCCTGTGAGTGCAGAGGCCCCCCGTTAAATAAACCTACTGGCTCCGAGAAGGAACGTTCTGAGCCACACGGGGCTGTCCCTCGCGCGGGTGACCATTGTGGGTGGGTGAGGCGCTGCTGGCTCCTAAGGAGCACCCTTTAACCCACGCACAGCTCATGTGCAAGTTGCGAGTGCTCTTGGGAAGGTGTTACAAGTGGTGCGTGTGGGGCTTTCCAGCCAGAGCTGGGGTGGATTCTTCGTAACGCGGGCTGGCCGCCAGGAAGAGTGCCAATGGGAGTTTGTCCCCCATGTATTCTCATGGTGCCTCAGGCTATTTCCATCGCATTAAAACTCTCACCGGTCCTGAGAGTGGGCCGTCAGATGGCCGTGAGGTGCAGCCGCAGGAGTTGGGGAGCCCCACCCTCCCAGACCCTCCACCGAGTCCCACTCAGAACCCCCCCACCCTGATCAGCACCCCTGCGAGAGGCAGGAAGGTCAGCCCCATCCATTGCTTCCTCTGCTGCAGGGGCTGCAGGAAGAGGGGCTGGACCTGGGGGTGCAGGTGGAGGCCACCAGGCCTTTCATCCAGGGGAACCCCAACCACCAGCACAGAATGGACCAGCTTTCCGCCGACTGCCAGGCCCTGCAGCGGTCCCTGGAGGTAAGGGCCGTGCAGACAACAGCCTGGACCTGACCCTCCCCGAGCCTCCCCTCTCCTTCCTCCCTCCTGCCAGCGCATCTTTTCCTTTCTCTTGTCCTTCCTCCCTCCCTCACCTACTCGGCAGACCATCATTGAGCGCCTCCTGTATGCCAGGCAGTGATCGGGGCCCTAGGCTAGGGCAGCTGAGCCAGCGGGCAAGGCCCCTGCTCTCCCAGGTGATGTTCCAGGGGGTAGATGGACAGAGTGGGCAGCCAACAAGTAAACGTACAGTTCCTCCTGGGCCGGGGCCAGAGAGCAGGGCACCGCGCAGGTGCTCCCCGAAGCCCACACATTTGCCGCCTTAGGGTGAGGTTGAAAGGTGCACCTGGTGGCCTGGCGCCGTGCCTGCAGTGCCCTCTAGCGGCCGCCTGGGTCATTCTGGTGCTACGGAGGGTTGACTCCCTTGTGAGAGGTGGGAGTGGAAATTGAGGTCCTTCAACATCCCCCTGAGGACACGTTCCAATGCATCCGGGCTGCAGCCACCCCCCGACCCCGATGCAGATGGAGCCCCGGGTCTGCATTGGTCGCCTGGGTCCCAGGAGCCAGCCGGCCCTCAGGCTGCCTCACCCAGGAAAACAGTCTGAGGGTTCCCCACCCTACGGCTGACACGTGCTCATTAATAACAAGTGTTCCTAACAGCCTCCCGCAGTCCTGAGATTCACAGAGAGTGTCAGCAGCCACACCACTTAGCACTTTAATATAATGTCCTTTCTACAGTAGGGAATGTAGATAAAAGGAAAGTAATTATTAGAAAAAATAATGCCTTTCAAAATGTAAGTGGCCGCGGTGGCCACACCAAGGCGGGAGGAGGCGGGCGGTGTGCCCTCCCCAGGGGGAAGCCTCCGGTGCCTCCAGCCGCGAGGTTTTCTGGGAGACGAACAACCCCGAGTGCGGTCCCCCATCCGCTTACAGAGCAGCCGCATTCCCGCGCAGTCCGTGTGGTCGTTAAAGCTGCCAACGTCTCTTCGTGTTTGTGTGGTAACCGGAGGCAGATTCTAAGCTCAGACCGCAATAAACGTGGGTGTGGGCAGGGCCTGAGAAGACCCCCCACGCCCCACACTCCCCTGTCTCTGCTGGCACCCACCCCGTCACCAGCAGGGCAACCCAAGCCCCCGTGAGTTTCGGGAAATACAGCCCTACCCATCTAGACCCCCGGTCTGCATGAGGGCTGAGGTCTAGATGAATTCATTTCACTCCATTTACTAAGTTAGAAGCTACTGGTCCCCAGGCTGAGGCAGGGGGCCTAGGGAAATAGGAACCACGGACCCCACCCTTTAGGTGCCACAGAGCCCATAGACCCAGCAAACTTCAGCTTTATAATGAAAAAAACACGTGTTTTTATTGATTTCAGCGAGAGGAAGGGAGAGGGAGGGAGGGAGGGAGAGAAACATCAATGATGAGCGAGAATCATCCATCGGCTGCCTCCTGCACGGCCCCTACTGGGGATCGAGCCCGCAACACGGGTGTGGGTCCTGACAGGGAATCAAAACGTGACCTCCTGGTTCCTGGGTCGATGCTCAAGCACGGAGCCATGCCAGCCGGGCAGCAAACCTCAGCTTTCGTGCCCACAGCCAGTAATGGGCTCAGGCCTCGCCATCTTTTTATTCAGTTTGGGGTCCACCTATAGCCCTTAGGCAGGCGATTCCAGGATCAGGCAGACTATCTTATCAGTGAGGATGGACATGACTATCTGGTGGGGAAGGTGCTTCAGCTGCCATTGTCTGGACTAAACAGTGGGTGCACAGCCCTGACCTTTGCCAGGGCTCAAGGGTCACCAGCCTTCGGCTCCTTGTCCACACCTCTCTGCCAGTGAAGGCAATGGGCGGCTTCCCACACTTCCTCTTGGTGAAGAGTGTTCGCTTTGCGGGGTGTGCACCCAGGGGTGAAAGGGTCGCGCCCCAGGGCTGCTGTGTTCCGGGTGGGTGCTGTGGACCCACCATTTTCACAAGTGGCTGTGCCGATGCACCCACACGGGGTGGACAGGAGATCCGGTTGCCCCAGACTTTGAGCGGGAAAGCGAGAGGCTCTGAGACCTTTTCGCCAGAATCTGTCTTCTGGGCCCATGCCTTGCACCATGTAGAGGGAGGACCTGCGCCCTGGTCCCTGCTGGGTCGGGGGCCCTACAGGGGAGCACAGCCCAGGGTCCGGGCCAGCCTGGGGGCCCAGGCCTCGGCCTCCGCCAGCACTCAGGCACCCTGGCCCTGGCTGTGCTGCAGGACCTGGTGGACGGCAGCCAGCGGAGCGCACGGGAGCACTGCGCCTTCAGCCACGAGCTCCTGCAGCTGCAGCAGTGGGTGGCCGTGGTCACGCAGAAGCTGGAGTCCTACCTGGGAGACACGGGCCCCTGGGATGCCCAGGCCCGCGAGGCCGAAGTCCAGGTGAGATGGCTTTCCCTGCAGGGATGGTGTACCCCCGAGGCGGGTCGGGAGGCCACAGCACCCGCACTGGGAGCGGAGACCGCAGGACTCATTGTGTGTGTGTGTGTGTGCGTGCGTGCATGTGTGTGCGTGCATGCATGCGTGTGCGTGTGTGTGCATGCATGTGTGTGCGTGTGTGTGCGTGTGTGTGTGTACACAGGGGCTGCTGGCGGAATTCCCCGAGAAGGAGGCCCAGCTGTCCCTGGTCGAAGCGCACGGCCGGCTGGTGATGGAAACGTCCTCCCCGGAAGGGGCTGCCGACGTCCAGGAGGAGCTGGCGGAGCTGGCGGGGGCCTGGCGGGCCCTGAGGCTGCTGGAGCAGAGCCTGCTGAGGTGAGGGGCCTCCTGGCCTCGGCCTGGTCTGGCATCACCCCTCCCCACACGCGGAGCTCAGTGGTGCTGGGGGACAGGGGCCGGGGTTCTGCCTGTGGCAGGCGTGGGACCAGGGGCCTGGCATCTCCCTTCTGGCCCAGCTGGCATTCTGGCAGGTCCAGGGGAGCAGGGAGCTACCCCAGCTGGAGTGAGCCTCCAGCCCGCCCACCCGGGCTCAGGCTGCACCCCCATCACTGGGCACCTGCACCCCCATCACCGTGAGGGGTCTCAGCACCCCCATCACTGGGCGCCTGCTCCCCCGTCACCGTGAGGGGTCTCAGTAGGCGAGTCCCCTCCCGGGCCCGGCGCTGACGGCTGGCTTGTTTCCTCAGCCTCATCAGGAACCGGCAGCTGCAGAGGCTGGACGTGGGCTCCGGGAAGACCCCGATTTTCACCAACAACATCCCGAAGAGGGGCTTCGTCCTCACCCCCACGGGGCCCCTCTCCAGGCGGCACCGGCAGGTGAGTCTGGCGGGGCTTCCAGGAGGAGGGGCCCGATCCCAGGCCAGTGATGGGGGCGGGGAGGATCTCCGGCAAAGCCCCCCATCCCGGGCCACAGGCTCCGCTCGGGAGTGGGCCCCGTCCCGTCTCGGTCAGCCGGCCCTGCGTGTCACAGGCGTCCCTCAGGCCACCGGACAGACGGACCCAGAGACCCCAGACCCAGGCCCTGGGGAAGGCCCCGGGCTCCCCTGGACAGACAGGCCCTCGCCCCTCAGAAACACCGTGCCCCGCAGGGAGGAGAGGTCAGGGGTCAGAATCACCGCCCCGCAGGGAGGAGAGGTCAGGGGTCAGAAACACCGCCCCCACAGGGAGGAGAGGTCAGGGGTCAGAAACGCCGCCCCCGCAGGGAGGAGAGGTCAGGGGTCAAAAACACCGCCCCTCAGGGAGGAGAGGTCAGGGGTCAGAAACACCGCCCCCGCAGGGAGGAGAGGTCAGGGGTCAGAAACACCGCCCCTCAGGGAGGAGAGGTCAGGGGTCAGTGCTTCCCGCCGAGCCCGGGCTGCACACTGAAACCACGGAGGGTGGGCATGTTTTGGTGCCATGCGTTGTGTTTTGTAGAAAGAACTAAGCTCCCTGCCCTGTATCAGCCGTCCTGTCCCCCAAATGCCTTCACAGACGGCAGCGCATTGGCGAGAAGCTAGCGCAGTGAAGAGAACCTCCCCGAAACCCTTCCCCCCAGCAGAGCCCGGAGCCCAGCGCAGGGCCACGCCTGCTGGGCCCGCACCCCATCCGCTGCTTAACATGCAGGCTCTGACTCAGGAGGTCTGGGGGCCCCGAGCCTGCTGTCTGCAAGCCCCTCGCAGCACCCCATGAGAGACGAGGCAGTGAGAACCACAGGCCATGAAATCGGGGTTTCCAGAAAGCGGGGTGCGATGGCAGAGGGGCCATGGGCTGTGGGGCCTGCAGAGAGGCCGTGACCCGGGGCTGGGCCAGGGCAGCC